TATATATATATGTACGTATTTAATGTATATATGTGTGTACATTACGTATATGTGTAGAGATGTATATATTTTTATCTTTGTTCAATATGCAAAGTAAAAAGGCTTAATTTTTAGATTATCTACAAATCTTTGAATTCTTCGAATTGTTACTATTCTTGAATTATTATCCTTCAACTTATTATATTATTAATTACATTTTCGATTCTTTCCTACATCTTTGCACAAATTAAGCAAATGCTCGCGCGCGGTACAAAAAACCGAAGATATCAAATTTCATAAATAGATATTCCTTAATTTGAGATAAACGATACGTGGAGCATGACATTATCGTGATTGGACAGTGAATAATGGCGAATAATCACAGGAACTGTCGTGTATTTATTAGCGATAAAGATAATCAGCCGGTATTGAATGGCCGCGAATAACAATTTAGCAGCGGGATTCGAAATCGCGCGGTATTATTGGCGAGATGTTACCCGACAGCGCTCACGCGGCCGGCCATTGGCCGGGCGCGTCCAAGGCCGCGGCTACGTCATAGCAGCGCAGCAGACGGACGGACAGAGTTCACGGCGTTCACGCGCAGCTGTCTTTTGACTGTTGTCTGTTTTGCCGTGTGGGAATGGAAGGGTAGCGCGCTGCGATGAAGACGGCGCATGGTGTCGTCTCGCGAGTTATTGCGGCGAATGTCAACGTGTTTCCACACTCGCGACGGTGTTACGTGGACGCCAGCCGCTGTGCCAAGGCACGCGATTAGACTCCGCTTGGCTTCGCTGCCACACTCTGACGCGCGCGCACGTACACGCGGGCGCGGGCGCACACGCGGAATTGCAGGGAGAGATACACCGAGCGACACATCCTCCCGTTTGTCGTGTCATTGACTCAGGACGAAGTGTCAAAATCTGATCCGTGTCCGTTTTCCGCCCGTTTCTCTCCCCCGTCATCGCGACGTAATATATTAAAACGGTCCGTGAATAATTTCGCCGCCCGGCCCGGCGGATCCTCATCACTTGGCCAACGGAAGAGTCCGACCGAGGAACAACACACGACGGACGACTACGGTGGGCAGGAGCGTGTATGTACGTGACGTATCAGTGTGCGCTTTGTTTTCCTTCTTCTCTTCTTGTTCCTCCTGCAGTGCACCGCTGAAATCTTTCGCAGGGGACGATATCGACAAGCGTTTTCATGCGACTCGATCTTGCATAAAACGCAAGAGATCTCGCGATTTGCGACGCAGCGTGACGCACACCAGTTACCTTCGTCGCTTCCCCGATTTCGTTCGTGGAATGACTTGATTTAACAACGCTTGATTACCACAAATTTCCTCGAGAAGAAAAAAATCTATATCTTATTTAAACTTATGCTAAATGTCATTGAATATAACGTTGACAAACTGATTATTCGTTGAGTTTATCCGTTAAACTATTGTCTGAATATTTGCCAAATGGATCGTTTTAATCTGAAGTTAATTATTCATTCGTTAAGTAACATTTATAAATTGGAATACGTTTGGCAGACAATTGATAAAATGTATACATATCATATATATATATATATATATATACATACACACCACACGCGCGCGCGCGCGCGCGTGTGTGTGTGTGTACGCGCGCGCGTGCGTATGTACGTGTGTGTATGTGTGTGGATAAAAGTTGTTACTGCAAACAGATTATAGTTATATAATTATGTAAAGAATTTACACCTGAATGTAACTTGTAGCATATATGTACAGATGTGTGTGTGTGTGTGTGTGTTTGTGTGTGTGTGTGTAATGTTTTTGTACCAAATAACTTTATGTATGTTATTTATAAACATGTATAGATGTGTTTATAAACGTAACGCTTATATATCTGATTTCAGGCTATACACATTTTGATGTTAAAGGCTGAATAATGCTTGAAAGATACGAATAAATATATAATACTACAATTTTGGCATCAAAACACATACCAAAAAACGTAATAATCATGTATCCAAGATACATTTAATCAAATTTTATTGTCAGTGATTACTATATTTGGCGAGGTTGGAGAGTAATGCCGGTTCATCAGATTAATGTTAATCCGCCTGATTGGCAACCACCATTGTCAATCGGTCCTTCCAATAATACGAGTCCTGCTGGTGGAGAAGCTCTATCAGAATGGATACCACAGGTGATCATTCTATTGAGAATTAATATGCATTAATTAATTATTTAGCTCTTTATTTAGCTCTTTTCAATCTTTGTGGAAAATATGAAACATCTTTTACTATGTGCTTTTTTTTTTGCAAATTGCAGGGTCTTTGTGTAGAGTTTTCTTTTATGCAGAAACGTTAATTCTTCTTAACTGTAATTTTGAGTTATTTTATATGATTGGAAATAAAAATGTTTTCGAAAATCCAACAAAAAATAAAATCATATTTTCCAGTTAATTTCATATAAATTATATTTTGAAAATTCTAACTTAAGACTTAAATACAAAGACTTAAATACATAATTTTATGACAAATGATAATTTATCTCGCTTTTTATTTTCATTAAGAAAATTCAAAATATAGATTAAAAAATCTGCAGTTCAAAAAATTAATAGAGATCACGTTGTATTACATTCCAAAAATAAAGGTATTGAATCAATTAAAGTACAAAAGCAATATTGTGAAAACAAAGATATAAAGCACAAAGTTTGAAATGAGATATTTTATATTTTTAAATATTATAATTTTATGTCATCTTGATAATTATTAATATAGCTCAATAACATATTCTGAGAAGTACTTACGTGTTGACATAAATTGTATAGAAAGATAAAGAGTACCTTGATACTGACCTCTTCCCGTTGTGACTCATAGAAATATACTCATTTCAGAATTTTGCTTATGGTACAGTAGTTACTATTATACCAGATGATTGTCACTCGTCCGTGAACACATTGTCTTCGACCAACCATGATATTTGCAGGTAAATAGACCGTAGTTCTATCATGTATTTATCGTTACTATATACGATTGTACGACTTACTATTTATAGCTCT